CTGTGGACCTGGAGCAGAGGCTGCTGCTGGGAGCCTGAGGGATGGGGGAGGGGTGCCACACTTCCGGGGGCCCTGGGCCTCCTGGCTGGGGTGGATGGGCCTCTGCACCCTGGCCTTTGGCCTCCCGCCAGAGGAGCCCTGCCTGGTGTCTGGAGGTCCAGGCTACTTTCCACAACAAAGCCAAAACAACTCCGGTGGTCAGGAAGGAGGGAGGCCCGAGCCCACTGACTTGAGCCCTCAACAGCTATCCTCAGCAGTTGTGTGCAGGCAGACCAGCTGCCGGGGCAGAGAGGGTAGGCCACGGCTGCCCCTCCCCTTCTTGGAATGGCCCTGCTCCCGAGGCTGGCAGCCTCCCAGAGAGGACGCCTTGTTCCCTGCTGAGTGGATCCAGGGCCTGGTAAACATGTTTGTGAGCACAGCCATCCGAGGCTGAGTCACAAAGCAGCGTCATCCGTCCCTCTCAGAGCCACCCCTGCAGGGTCCTAGCTGCTGGCCTCCAGAGCCCGCCTCCCTGCCCTGGTGGGTGCAGGAGCCCTCCTGGCTCCCTCCTGGCTCCCTCCCGCTGTCCTGGGCCCCAGATTTAAATATAGAGATCCTGATTCTACTGCCAGTCTCTACACCTGCCATCTTTGGGGAGGCCTTCCTGAAACAGTGCTGGCTCCCTGCACAAGGCACCTGGAAAGACCAAGAAAGGAGTGAAAAACTGGAGTGACTCATAGCCTGGGCCTGTTGACCACGCTACTGGAGGAGGCTCAGGACGTGCCCGTCCCAGGCCTGGTGGCAGGAGGAGCTCAGGACGTGCCCGTCCCAGGCCTGATGGCAGGAGGAGCTCAGGTCATGCCCGTCCCAGGCCTGGTGGCAGGAGGAGCTCAGGATGTGCCTGTCCCAGGCCTGGTTGCAGGAGAACAGGGACCTAACCCCCGGGGCAGCTGGGCAGGGGCAGCACTGGCCCGTCTCCCCTCACCTCATCCTGACTTCCGTTTGAGGCCAAGACGGTTCAGGGCCAGTCTGTACAATGAGTAGGTGGGGTTAGCTGAGGGTGTCTGAGGTCATTTCCTACCCCAATGGTCCCTGACCCTCAGGCGTCTCTCCAGCCTCTCCCTAAAAAGAGCATCCCTGGGGCCTTGGGGGCAGCCAGTGCTGGCTTCCTATGCAAGGCAACTCTTAGCTGCAAGGGTCCCAGACCCCACAGGCTGCCATTATCTGCCTACAGACCCCCAGAAGACCTTAGCATGACGAGAAAAAAACAAGGGCCAAGGAGACCCTAAGAAAGTGCCTTCCCCTCGATTCTGAGTTTCTGACAGTTGCTCTCCCGGCCTATGGCACAGGTGGCTTTGAAGGAAGCCAAGGCCCAGTTCTCTGCCTACCCTGGCCCCCAGCCTCCAGACTCTGCTCGTGGGGGTGGCCAATGGGCCTGACTCGTGATATAAACTCAAAGGTAGAGCCTCAGACCTCCAGGACAAGCCCACTGCCTCTCTTTTCTGTCAAAGGACACAGACTCACAAAATCTCAGAGCTGACCATGAGTCAGGGAGGCTCTTCACACTCATAAAATCCTCTGTTCCAACCCCTCCCCTGAAGGAACTGCCCAAACTGGCCCATTGGGCTGGAGAATCCAGGGGCTTGTGCCAAGGGTCAAGAAGCTGGGAATGAGAAGTCCTGGGCACATGCTGGCAGGTAACCCTGGCAGTGACTGACCCTTAATGAGCCTGTGTCTTTTCAACTGCAAAATGGGGTTGGCGGCCCATTTTGACAGCTCAGAGGGTCCTCAGGAGGGGCTGGGGAGGTTTCTAACTGTGTGCCTGAATGGCCTAGCAGACAGACACCCTCTTCCTGCAAAGGAGGGCAAGGTCTAGCGGACTGGAAAGCATTATGCAACTGAGAGGCATTATTCTTGAGAACTGGACCAGAAAGTCCTGGTGCTTCCCACAGAGGATAGACCATGTGCCCTTGGCCATGGGGAGGGCAGCAGAGCCAGGCTCCTCCGGGAAGATGGCTGAGCCATACAGGGCTGCTGGGCCCTTCTGGGCGGACAGCTGGGACAGGGCAAGGGACCCTGGGCTTTGCAGAGCTCCAGGCAGGTGGGGGGCATCCTTTACCTCAGAAGCTCTGCCCCCTCCCTCCCATTTCCCATTTCACCCCCACTTTTATCTCCAGAATGATGTACATGTCTTGTCATTCCTGTGGCCTTCATAGTTGGGACCAAAGACCCAGGGTAGGAAATAGCAGCAAATGATTATTTCTAGGAGAGGGTAGAGATCGGTGCCAAGAAGGGGGGGTAGCAGTGTTCATGGCAAGCCCCCATAGCAAAGTTTCCCCATGAATCAGTCTCCCCCCCCGGCACAGCAGGGACCTCACCCCTCCTTCCATGGGCCTCCAGCAAGGACTGGGTCAGGTCTGATCGTGTGGGGTCTGGGGTATGGAGGGAGGTGTTCACACCTGGTTTAAGAGCTGGGCCCAGACAGGCCAGGCCAGGCCAGGCCAGAGAGCCTCTGAGGCCTGGGGCTCAGACGGGTCCCTGCCCACTCTCAGACATCTTGCTAAGACCATCCCTGATTGAGCCCTGGGGTCCTTTTCATTACCTCCCCCCTTGCCCCCCAGGACAGAGAATACACAAAAGAGACAGGGCTGAGAAAGTGAACAGAAGAGGACAGTGGAGGTTCAGAGTTCAGGTCCTGGCTTGTGCCAGCTTGGCAAAGCTGTGCTCTGTGGGCCTAACAGAGGGAGGAGAGCTAATGATCCTGAACATTTGTGCAAAGCTGTTTTCCCTCCAGAAAGAAAGGAAGGCTCAGTAATCAGAGGTCTGACGGTGGTCCCAGGCAGATGCCTTCAGCTCTGACATCAGGCCCCTGGTCAGAGCAGGGAAAGCCCAATCCTCACAGAGGCTCCACTCTGCCGGGGGCAGGGCCCCAGGATCCCAGCTGGAGGGGACATCAGGGAGGGCCCATCCAATGGCTGCCCATTGGTGCCATGACTAGGCACCAGAAACAGCTTATCTGGACAGGATTCTGGCTGAGGTTCAGAGAAAGGGGAAACGCTGGGGGTGAGGGTGAGATGTAGATGCCAAGGAAGCCCTGTGCCCAGGTCCCCCTGCCCCTTTGCCTGCCCAATACATCAGCTGGGGAGGTCCTGTCCACAGAGCCAGGAGCGTTAGGCGCTGGACCTCAGACTAGCAGGGCTGGGCAGGTCTCTGGAGATGCACCCGCTGGGATGAGCCTGGTTATCTTGTGATGCTCCAGGGGTAAGGCACAGAGAGGTCACATGGGCTAGTGCGAACCTAGTGCCCTTTGTACATAGAGAGGGGAGAACAATAAATAAGTAGAACATCTTCTCAGGGGCAGCCAGGTGATACAGGGGGCACAGGGCAAGGTCAGGTCAAGAAAACCAACATTCAAACCCAGCCTCAGGCACTTGCTGGTCGTGTGGCCCTGGGCAAGTCATTTCACTGTGATTGCCTCAGTTTCCTCATCTGTAAACTGGGGCTAACGATAGCACCTACCTCCCAGGGTTGTTGTGAGGATTCAATCAATTGCAAAGCACTTTGCAGCCTTATAAATAAACAAACAAAGGAAAGAAGGAAGGAAGGAAGGAAGAAGGAAGGAAGAAGGAAGGAAGAAGGAAGAAGGAAGGAAGGAAGGAAGAAGGAAGGAAGAAGGAAGGAAGGAAGGAAGGAAGGAAGGAAGGAAGGAAGGAAGGAAGGGCCCCAGAAATGCTGGAGGGCCCAACAGAGGGTGGTTCAACACTTCTCGGCTGGCTTAAAAGGGGGCTTCCTTTTCCAGTATGGCCTGATTCTGAGGCTGCTGGGCTCCTTCCAACACTAAAATTCTGTGCTTACCAGGGTCTGTCTGAGTAGTAGCAGGAAGAGCAAGAGGGCAGACCTTCAGGGACTGGCAGCCACAAGGGGGCAGGCAGGGCTCCCACAAATGCCCGTTGTCAAGGCTGAATGTATCGCCAAAGCGTCCAGAGAGGCAGATGGGAGGCAAGGCAGTGTCTGGGGTGTGCCGAGGGTAGAGCGTCAGGCCCCTGCCAACAGGCCAAAGAGCGGTGAGAGGCAGACAGTTCTCGTGGAGGAAAGATTCCCCTCGGGTGGACCGATAAGGCATGGCTCCGAAGCCCCCTCTTCCCTTGCCTGGAGGCCTGAGTTCTTCCCAGACTTGCTTGAGGAGGAAGCCCCAAACCTCTTCCTGCAGGCACACAGGACCCCAAAAGAGCCCACCAAGGGGCGTGCCAGGCCTCCTGTTCCTCACTCTGCCTGCTGGGCCCTGTGCCTTTTGTCCTCCTGAGGCGGTCTCTTGGCAGGGGGCTTTGGAGAGGGATGCTTTTTTTTTTCTCTAACCAAACTGAAACCAAGGAGTATGTGATACCAGAGTGCAGTGGGATACCCATTACCACAGAAATATCTTATTGGAAGAGACACTCGAACCTGTGCCCCCTGAAACATTGTTGACAGTCAGGGCTCTGGTGTTTGGTGAAGGCCTCCTCCAACTCTAACCCCTGCCTCCCACTTTGGGAGAGCTCCTTCTTGCCAAGTTTGCTTCTTGTATCCCATCCAAACCATCCTCCCTCCCATCCCCTGAGTCTTCTCCCCTCCAGGCCAAATAGTCTGGCCCTCCCCATCCTCATATAACCGGCCTAAAGGCCTCTCATTGACCTGGTGGCCCTTTCTCATCCGGGGTTTTCCTCTTATCACTGGGGTGCCTGGCCAGGGCTGGACCAGTGCTCCCTGGTCAGAGGACCAAGGGCTCCCCCTCTCTATTCCTGCCTCTCTGCTTAAGTTGGCTGTTCCCCCCAACCCTGCTGACTCATGTGGAGTTTTGGGTCAACTACAACGTAATCTCATTATTGGCAAGGACTAAGTGTACCATTTGGCATGGCCACCAACCTGCCTTTAAGGAACCTTAGCAGAGGGTTCTGATGTCTGCACGCCTCTGGGAACTCTGTGTCCCGGCTTCTTTATCTCACAGAGGGCCAGGTGTGCCATTAATACCCTCTTGTATTAACTGCTTTGAAAGCCCTGAAGTGCGGTGTTCATTCCACTCAGAATGAGGAGCACGGCGTTTATTCAAACCATTGCGTGCAGAGACAGAATCCCAGAACCTGGTAGGGACGTCAGCAGCCCCAACCCGATCTGTATGGGAGAGGAGTCTTCCCTAGGAGGCGCCCAGCCAGCACTTGGTTGTCCAGCCTGTTCCAGGACCTCCCAAGGCAGCCCCTCGCACTTTGGGGTGGCTCTCACTGTAGGGAGCCACACTGGCTTCCTGGCCTGCTTCCATGCTGCTCCGGGCTGAGCAGGAGCATGCAGCCAGCCCTCCTTCCAGAGGACTGCCGGCCTCGCCCCGTCGGTCTTGGCCTCCTGCATACCCCAGGCTCAGGAGCTGGCCAGGGGGGCTCAATAGATGACCCCTTCAGGCTCAAGAAGCAGGTAGTTCTTCAAAGACAAAGGCAAAGGCAGCAGCGGGATGACCTTGTGGCATCTGCTGAGCAGGATCCTCCGCACGGAGCACCTGGCCAGGTGCATGAGGGACCTTGGGGTGTTGCTGCAGATGCTGAAGAGAGAGTGGTAGAAGTCCCAGTGCCTCTGTGAGAGATGACACAAAGGAGGCCGGTCAGAGTCCAGCCTCCCCCGCGCCACCCCAGTGGCTGAGGCCCGCCATCTTTCTTTTTCTCCAGCAACTTTGCCCTCAAGGGACCCGTGAGGGCCGGGTGACGGTCCTCAGATGAGGGAGGCCACGTCCAGCCTGCCCCGAGGCCCACTCAGGAGCAGGGGGTCAGCCAAAGGAGTGGCTGTCCAGAGGGGGCTGGACTGTGAGCCTGGCTCTGCCCTCAAGCCCTGGATGACCTTCAGGGCAGTATCTAAACATTCAGAATTCTTCTGGTACCCAGGGGCACAGCCAGGCTGGAAAGGTGTCGATGACCCGGACAAGTGCAGTCTGCTGGGGATGCTGGCCCAGCCCGAGGTGGGGACTTGTAGCCAGAGGCCGGATCGTAGGTGTGCTGGTGACTCTAGAGGGGGCACTCCTGAGCTCAGATGATGTCATGGCTAAGTAAGGTCAGGGCCTCTCGAGAGGGAGATGCTTGCCAGACCCACGGCCTCATCCATCACATACTTCTGCTTGCCCACTCCCCTCCCCATCTCAGGGGAGACAGCAGATCAACACGGAAGCCCTGGGGGAGCTGGGTTCTAAGGCTGGGCCTCTGTTTCCCCCCTGCTCCAGAAGTCTCCAAGGGTTTGGACCAGCCCCGCCTGCCTGGGCCACTCTTTTTCTCACAGGCTATCCAGGGGTCCCAGCCCCGACCCCCAGTCAGAGGGGTCCCTGATCCCGATCGCCCCCTCACCTCCAGGCTGTCCTCTGGAATCGCCTTCTTCCACTTGGGCGTCCACACAATATGTTCATAGGCATTGACAACCACCTCCACCGCTAGAGGGCAGGCGTGGCAAGACTCCAACACCTGTGTGACCATACCAGAACATGAAAGCTCCCTCATCAACATGCATCCATGCCAGTCAATCAGTCAGTCAGTCAACAAGCATTTATTAACTCTTGCTAAGGGGCAGCCGCAGTGTTCAGAACAGAGACCAGGAATGAGGCAATCCCTTCTCACAAAGAGCTTACACTCTCCCTGGGGAGGCAAAGACAACCAGCCTCCATAGCCATTGTGCATGGAAATCATTCCTCTGCAGAAGGGGCTGGTCATCCCCACCCAACTGTCAGTCACAGGGCAGGCGAGCCATCCAGGCAGCCTGAGGGAGAGGCAGGAAGCGGCATGTGCCAGGCAGTCATTATCTCCCCTCCCCCTCATCCCCTGGTGAAGACAGCCCAGGACCCTGGATCCAAGAGCCCAGGCACAGTGATGCCCCCCAGACCAGTCCAGCCCCCACAGTCACCATTCAAGGGAGAAAACCCCTAGGCTTGGAAGTGTGACCTGGTATCTTCCTCTGCAGGGGCTGCAGCACCACCTTCCTCAATAGCCCTGGTTACTGGACACCCAGAGGAGAGAGCTCTTCACTCCCACACACTGAGGAGCTGTGGGATGGCTCAGAAGTGGGTGCGGGTTTATCCGTGGAAATGACACTAAAGACGATCTGATGCTTCTGCTTTGCCCAGGCCCCCCACGATGTCCCATCTGACATGCAGCTAAAGCCTGGCATGTGTTTGTTGTCTCCCCATTAGAATGTGAGCTCCCTGGGAGCTGGGACTGCCTAGGTTCTCTATTTAGAGCCCTAGAACTTAGCACAGTGCTTGGTACATAGATGGCACCTGATGAATGTCTTTCACTCGCTCACTCACTCACTCACTCACTCATTCACTTATTCATTCACTCACTCATTCATTCACTCATTCATTCACTCATTTATTTACTCATTCATTCATTCACTCACTCACTCATTCACTCACTCATTCATTTATTCACTCATTCATTCACTCATTTATTTACTCATTCATTCACTCACTCACTCATTCACTCACTCAAGCACATACAGAGAGATGTCCAGAGCTGATTTCTTGAAGCTATGCTATGTTACTAAGCGCAAGATGTGTCCTCAGGCACCCAAACTCTCCACCTCGCTATCTTCAGTCTCCAGTCCTCCAACGTGTTCCCACTCTACTGGCTGACCCAGGGCTTAGGTGGGGTGGAGGGAGGAAAGGATCTAGTTGGTGTCTGAAGGCTTAGGAGGATGCCTGAGGGAAGTCATCCCGGGCTTAACAAATGGAAGTCACCCATTTGTGGTGGGTCTAAGGTGTTGACCCAAGAATGCTAGTTCATCCAAAGCATCCTTTGTTGAGAGATGGCTCTCTATGAGTCCTGAGCCAGGGGACATAAGGGATACAAATAACAGTGCCTTTGTGGGGCTCATGGTCTTGGGGCCAGGCAGGTTACGGACTACTCTTGGGAAGGGGATTCACTGGTTGGAAGTGTATTCCACCCGACCTGGGCTGGAAGACTCCAGGCTTATTGTTATAGACGTTGCCATCACTGGAAAGTTAGCCATGGACGCTATTATTTATGTACACGAATTGAAACAACAAAGTTACCCAGGAAGGCCGATGAGTCTTCTGAGACAAGACAGAGGATGGTGCTGATATAACAAGGCTGAGACCCTTAGGTGTTTGTGTAAAGAAGGGACAGCCAATCCCTGGCGCTGCTTTGAGACTCCAAACGCCCCCATCGAACCATCCACCAGCACTTCCTCGATGCCCACTGTGGCCACTTCAGTCTCAGAAGAAGCCTGGGATTGGGTGTGTTCCTTTTTGGGTAGCTCTCAGGGCCCAGGGGGGATCATCGGGAAGGCTTGGGTGGTTTTATCCCCAGAGTAGACCACTGACCACCTGGACAGAAAGAGGACATGGGTGAGGGATTGCCATGGGAGAATCGCTGGCCCTCAGTCACTTACTACCTGTGTGACCAGAGGCAAATCAATTCACCTAGTGGGGCTTCACCTTCCTCATCTCTAAAATGACAGGCTTGGTCCCTTCCAGCTCCAAATAGGAAGGAGAGGAAAGCCAGGCCCTGCCTGATGTGTCCCTTAGATCTGGGAAGAACAGTTTACCACAGTCTCCCAGGGAGGACAGGGAGCCGCCCCCAGCTCCCAGTCAGCCCAGGAGGGCAGAAAGTTCTCAAGAGTGAGACGCAGATGAAGAGGGGAGTAAGGAGGGAGAGATTTGTTCCCCACAGACCTTGGACTTGGCAGACTGATCTCACTTAAGGTCTGGAAGATAGAGCCTAGTATGGTCAATGGTCAATGGGACCCAAACAAAAAGATGAAGAAAGACATGGAGCTCATCTGGTCAAAAGGAGGGAACTTGTCTGATGTCAGGATGTAAACGTTGATCAGGTAGAGGGCACAGTGGAGGCCTCTGTCCTTGGATAGAAAGGCACTTTGCAAGAGAGGGTCTCAGAAAGCTAAGAGGGGACTAGGCTGGTTGGTCCTTGGGATAGCGCTTTCCTGCAGGAATAAAGGCATAGCAAACCAAAGGGCCTTACAACAGCAGGTTTGTCCATTCTTCCTCCCTAAGGGATGTTCGTCAAAGACAGATTGCCTGAAGATATCAGCTACAATATATGGAATTCTCAATAAAAATTTCCTAAAGCCCCAGAGTTCGGAATCCTAAAAGTCTGAGTGAGAAGGGACCTTCCAGATCACAAAGCCCAGATAACTGGGAGGGACCTGAGCACTAAAGCTAGCAGAGACCTTCCAGTCTTCCAGTCCAATCCCTTCACTTTACAAATAAAGAAACCAAGGTTTAAGAAGCAAAACGGCATCTCGGTTCACTCAGGTTGAAGGGCAGAAACAAGCATTCATTGAGCACCTGTTGCATGCCAGGGACTGTGCTAGGGATTTTGTAAACATTAACTCATTTAATACTCACAACAACCCTGAAAAGTACTTTCTGTTATTATTCGCATTATACAATTGAGGAAGCCAAGCCATATGGAAGTTAAGTGACTTGCCCAGGTCACAGCAAGTGTCTGAGGCTGAATTTGAAGGTCTTTCTGACTCAAGTCACATGCCCTATCTGCCACACCCTAATGCTTACATGTAGGAATGCCTATGGAGGAAGTGACTTGTCCAAGGTCACACAGCAAGAAAGTGGCAGTCAGGATTGGAACCTAAGTCTTCTGATTATGTGACAAGTGCCCCCCCCTCCATGTCCCTGGGCAGCCTATACAGACATAAAGAGGAAGAAACATTCCATGATCTAGGCAATCGTGGGGGAGCCTGAGCCCTCACCTGTATGCCCAGAGTCGGGTGAGTGTAGTTGCCCGTGTCTCTCTGAAGCCAAGGGCTCGCTCTGCCCTCTGCCTGGAGCTTCTTCTGAAGAGCACTCACTCACTCACTCACTCACTCATTCATTCATTCATTCATCATTCCCTTACCCTGTCTGTTTGGCACACAGACTCACCAACATCTCTAGGTCAAAGACAGGGACTTGCCCTGGAACTCCTCCAATCTTTTACAGGCTTGATAGAATTAGCCTGCAACATCCCAGCCTCTGAATCTCCTTGGCTGACTCATTCACCATTTCCTGACCTTTCACGTTAGAACTGGCCCCAGTGGTTGATTGTTGGTTGTTGGTTGGGGGGGAGACGGGCAGTCCCTCCATCTACCCCTAAGTCAAGGAGATAGAGGCTTCATATGGAGTCTGAGGATGTGTTTTGAAGACAGCAGGGCTTCAGCCAGAGAGGAAACATTGAGACCACTGGCCCTCAGTCCAGGCTTCCTATACAGATTCCCACAGAAGATAATACAGTACCAGTGCATAGCTGTGTGAGGAAGGATCCTGGGTCCAGGGAATACTGTGGACCACAGGAAAGGGCTAAGTGCTTCAGAGCTGACCAAAAGCCTTAGTCCTAGCCCTGGTGTGTGTGCACATGGGAAACAGAACACAGAGCTTGGCGACTGTATACATAATCAGAGGACCTTGGCCTGCTTACCTAGTTATTTCTGACTGTTTGACCCATTTTCCTCTGGCCTCTGGGGCAGTGAAAGTAGATGGATTTTATAAAGGGCTCTACAGGTTCCCCATGGTGCTTGACCTTTGGGCCCTGCCTCTGTCCTGGGATGGGAAGCGGGATGAGGGAGGGGGTGCTGCAGGGATTGGCGGCCCCATTCTTGGGGTAGGTGGACTGTAGGGAGGGTGACCAAGCTCCCTAAAGGCAGAGGCTGTTTCTCTTTCCCCTAGACGTCCCGGGATGGGCCCACTGCAGGAGAGGCTCGGCAAGTGCCTTCGCTGAGGAGTCCATTGGTCTGTGGGGCCTCACCTTGTGGAACTGGGGCGGGTAGATTCGCGCGGCCCCATGGTTGAGCAGAAGCTGGTAGCAGCGAGCAGGTCGGGCTGTCGGGCGCACCGGGGTCACCTTGAGCACGTACTGGATGGCAGCGCAGCCGTTGACGTCCAGCAGGTTGGCCTCGGCGCCTGCCTCCAGCAGCAGCCGCATGGCATCCTCGTCGCAGTTCCAGGCAGCCTTGTGCAGCGGTGCCTTGAAGTCTTCGTCCCGGGCATTGACCTGGGCCTTGGACGCCAGCAGCAGGCGGCAGACGAGGTGGTGCTGGGCGCTGTACACCTGCTCCTTGAATCGTAGCGCCCAGTAGGCAGCCAGCGCCAGCGGAGTCTCCAGGTGCGCGTTGACACTGTCCACCAGGGCGCCGTGCTCCACGTAGAAGGCCGCTAGCTCGGGCAGACCGCCACGCACTGCCGCGTGCAGGGGCGTCTCCTCGTCGGCGTTGTTAGTCTTCATGTTCACATTAGCACCTGGGAACAGGACCGGCCAAAATGAGAAGAGGCCCAGGAAAGGGGAGGAAAGGCGCAGGAGAGGAGAGGAGTGTAGGGGGCGTTCAGGGGTCAGGGTCATCCAGGCAGCTTGGTAGGGCAGAGGATACAGCACCAGGTTTGGAATCAGAAAGACTCATCTTCCTGAGTTCAGACACTTACTAATTGCGTGACCCTGGGCAAGTTACTTAACCCTGTTTGCCTCAGTTTCCTAATGTGAAAAATGAGTCAGAGAAGGAAATGGCAAGCCAAGAAAATGGGGTCGTGGAGTCTGAGGTGACTGAACAACAAGAATGACACCTACACCACACCATGAACACAAGGATTAGGGATGCTGAACACACCGGCCCTCACACAGGGGCCCTGCAAGCACTGTGAATGTGGGCCCACACAATCCAGATCATCTTCCACCCCACTGCCAAGTGGATCTTAAAGCCTGACTCTGACCATGTCAACTCTCCTATCCCCACTCAATCTGATCCAGGGGCCCCTCATTACCTCCATGATCAAATATAAGCCCTACAATATCAAATGGTGGGCATTCTGGGCACGTCCCTGCCCCTCCCACCACATGTGCTAAGATCCAAGGACACCTTGCTGTCCTCACAAGACGATCCTCCATTCCCAACATTTTCACTGGCTGTGCCCCAGATGTGGAATTCTCTCTGCCTTCTGGTTGAGGAAACCAGGCTTCCTTTGAGTCTCAAAGTCTTACCTTCTGCAAGAAGCCTTTCCCAGTCCTACTTAATCTAAGTGGCTTCTCTCTGAAATCATTCCCAATTTATTCCATTTAGAGCTGTCTGTACAAGGTTGTGGAGATGTTGTCTCTACCATTAGACCACAAGCTCCTTGAAGGCAGGGATGGGCTTTTGCTTTTCTTTGTATCCCCTGGGCTTAGCAGAGTGCCTGAAACACAGTAGGCACTTAATAAATGCTGGTTATTGACTTGTTGACGAGGGCCTTGAGTGTGCAGGGCTGTGATGTCCATTTGAAACGGTTCTAGAATCATTTGGTTTGAGTGAAGAATGCCACCTCCTGGTCGTACAGGAGAATGCACCATTGAGAGCAGAGACCTTGGGATGGAAAGATCAGAGAGTGCCTGAAGGACCTTGGAGGTCATGTCAGCCAAGCCTCTGGGGCCTTCCAAACGCACTCACAGACATCTTCCCCCACCCCTTCCCGCCCAGGGCCTGCCATCTTTTTCCACTATCGGCTGGCCTCCTGTGTGAATGGAAATGGTTTGGGTTTTTTAGAATAGCAAGCCAATGCAGCTAAGAGCCCCTCTGATGACTGGTCTGGATCTCAGGGGGAAAGCTAACAGAGCCCAGACTCTAGAAGACCCAGGGATTTGCAGCCCAAGCTGTCAAGGGACCAGTCCAGTCAAGTACTGAGCGGCTAGTTGCTGGGCTGACTACAAAGCAACAGTGTTTGGATACCCATAAAACCAAGGAAGAAAATGATAAAGATAGTGTGGATGGGTGTCATGGGCATTGTGGAACCCTTTCCAGGCTGCCTGCCTTCCAGATCCAGCTCTTCTTCCTGCTCACACGCCCTAGAGCCAAGTGAGCACCAGGGCCTCTCCTTGCCTCCCTCATGCTGCATGGTTCTCTCCCCTCAGTTAAATGGGGGCCCTTGTGGGGAACCTCTCTTTTCTCCTTCCCCCAGCATGGTGCCTGGCACAAGCCCCTTCTTTCGATTAGACTCAGACCACTCCATTCTGCTATCTCTGCTCTCCCTCGAAGAAGATGCTTCCACACAGCACACTCCTGGGGTCCCTCCCATCCCCCCATCCCTCTCCTACTTTTTTTGTGTTTTGTCCCTCCCCCCCCCGCCTTAGACTGTAAGCCCCTTGTCAGAAGAGACTGCCTCTCTTTTAATTTGGTATCCCTAGCGCAGTGTCTGGCATGGCATAAGCATCTAATAAATGTTTATTGGATTGGTTTCATCTTCAGTTACATGTGCTTACATTTCTCACTGCTGTGTAAACAGTGGCTGTGTTTAAGTCTGTCCAATTTGCCTCCCTTGTGGTGGTGTGACTAAGTACCAGGGAGGTTTCCCTGGCACATGCACACAATATGTACACGGAAACACATGGTTTTGCCTTAACAGCTAACCACTACAGTGCTCTGCATTGGAGAGAGAGGGTGAACTGCATTGCAGCACGTGAGATTTAGATCAGATAAAGGTGTTATGTTCTGATGAGTAGGCTGTGATGGGGGATAGAAGCCCACTGGTGCCTCTGGTGACCTTGCAGCCTTAGAAGTTGGACGCTCTCGCCTTCCTTGGCTTTGCGGAAGCAGCCTCACCATCCTCTTTTTGATTTCCTAATGTGGGTGTTCCTCAAGGGTCAGTTCGGGTCCCCTCCTCTCCTCTCCTCTCTGAATTCACACTCTTGTAAATCTCCTTCACTCCCTTGACTTTAGTCTCTCTGTGCAGAGGACTCCCCAACATCAGAGAACTGCTCTGGGTGTTCTGCCTCCCTGGGAGGGCCCCCACTCCCTGCAGGTGGGCCCCTGTGCAGTGCTCCCAAATCCAGGTCTCAAGCTCAGCCCCCTCCTCTGTGCTGCAGACTCCCCTCTCCAGCTGGATGTCCCTCGGACACTTCCAACTCCAGACACCCCATCAAACTCATTAGCCCTGACTCTTTCTGGCTCTGCTGCTCCTCTGAGCAGCCAGCCTGCTTGGAAGTGCCCGGTCCCCTCCAACTCTTCCCTCTGCCCCTGCTCATCTCCCATCAGTCACTGCGCCTTGTTGGTCCCATGCTTGTAGCCTCTCTTCCATCCATTGTACCCGTCTTGTCGAGCCCCATTACTGCCAGCCCAGGGAAGGCCCCCCCATGTTCTAAGGCTGGGCTGTTACCATCACCTTCTTGCAAGCCTCCCTGACTTCTTTCTCTTCCCCCTCCAATCTGTCCTCCATCCTGCCACAAGAACATGTTTTCTTAGGGAAAAATCTCATCAGGTAACCTCTCTGCTCACAAAGCTTCAGTGGTTCTGTACTGCCCTCAAAATAAAGTTTTGATCCCTTTGCTTAGATTTAAGACATCCACTAGTTTGAACCAGATACCCCCACCTTACCCATTGTAAACTTACCTCTATAGTCAATCAATAGACAAAATTAGCTCAGGTCAAAGGCATCACAGACAAGCTAAGGTGGTGAAATACAAAGTGGCTTAAAGAATTCCTCCAATTTCAAAAAACCTAGTTCACACTCTTCTACAAAAGCACACATCATCGGTGAGAATGATAGAGGGTCTTGTGCCCAGGGAACACCTGCGGCCAAAGCCACTCACGCTTATGGTACTGCAGAACCCTAACACTCAGCTCAGCTCCCTGGGCCTTCATGTCACTGTGATTCGATTCCTAACTGTCAGGGCTAATTCTCTCTCAAGTCCCCAGCTGGCACTCTTCTCTGCTGCCAGGGCTCATGCTTCATTCATTTCTTGCTCCCTGATGGGACTTCTATGTCCTACTAGGTAAGCAGCTCCAATGCCAAACACAATGGCCAAAGAGAAAGGGGAGGTGAGAAATACCCTCCTCCCCCCCATTCCTGCTGCCTCTGATAGGGATGCAAGGAAGATGGCAAAGAATGATCCCTTCCCGAGAGCTGGTACTTCCTCCATAGCTGGCTCCCCTCTAGACTCTGAGGGACCACACTCCTTGAGCTTTCCTGCCTCAGCTGTTTCTCAGGGCTGGTAAACTTTCTTCTTAAGGGCCAAGAGGGATGTGAAAATGTCAAGCTGCCCCTCAAACTTCTTTATGCTTTGTAAATGAGTACCAGGATATAGACATTCTCTGAACCTTAACAAATTAACGCACACTCTCTCTCTCCCTCTCCTCTCTCTCTGTTCTCTCTGTCTCCCTCTTCTCTTCTCTCACCTCTCTGTCTCTTTCTGCCTCTCTTCTCTCTGTCTCTCTCTTTGTCTGTCTCTCCTTTCTCCTCTCTGTGTCTATCTGTCTCTTCTCTCTCTCTTCTCTGTCTCTGTCTCTTTCTCTTCTCCCCCCTGCTCTCCTCCCTCTCTCTCCTATCTCTCATCTCCTCTCCTCTTTCTCATCTCATCTTCTCTGTCCCTCCCTCTCTTCTCTTCTCTCTCTATAGCTCTCTCCTCTTCTCTCCCCTTTCTCTGTCTCTGTCTCTCTTTGTCTCTCTTCTCTGTCTCTCTCCTTTCTCCTCTCTGTGTCTGTGTCTCCTCTCTCTCTCCTCTCTCTGTCTCTGTCTCTCTCTTCTCCCCCTCTCCTCTCTCCCTCTCCTCTCTCTTCTTTCTCTCCCTCCCTCTCCTCTCCTCTCTTCTTTCTCATCTCATCTCATCTCAACTCATATCTCTCTCTTTCTATGTCTCTGTCTCTGTCTCTGTCTCTCTCTCTCTCTCTGTCTCTCTCTCTGTCTCTCTCTCTCTGTCTCTCTCTCTCTCTCTCTCTCTCTCTCAATGAAGGATAAATCCCCCCTCTACTCCCCAAACTGGTAGATTGAATGGCTCTGTGACTCCCAAACAGGTCTGGCATTGCCCCTCCTCTACACCTTCAGTTTGTTCCCTAGATCTGGAATGTCCTTCCCTATGATCAGCTTTTAAATTACTGACCTTTGTTCAAAAGTTAACTCAAACATCACCACAAGTCAGCAAAGCCTTCCCCAATGCTTGCCATCATTACCCAATGGGAATGACTCTCTCTTTGGGTCTTCACATAGCCCTTAGTTCTGCACCTCTCCAATGCTCTTGCCATGGAATTTTGTGAGTTTTGCCATTTGACTTGACCTGTCCTTATGCTCTTGAAAGCTCTAAAAGCCTGTGAATTCCTTCAGGGCAGGGACCCCATCTTCTCTACGTTCGTACGGCCCCCAGCCCTAGGACCATTCTGGGTTACTTGATAAATGTAACGTATTGTACTATGGCCAATTATGTTTTGCTCAATCACATTGTATTGCACTGTAGTGTGTTCTATCATACTATAGACTATTTTAATCAGTGATTTTCCTTGGTTGGGGGCTGGAAGCAAGCCATAAGGAAGGCAGTGGTGGAGAACAAAGGTCACCATTCCCATTGGGCCCTTTTCAGTCTTGCTCCTGAAATGATTTGCCAGCTACTGGGGACCAGGAGATTAAAAAAAAAACTTCCCCACACCTCAGGCCTGTACCTTGACATTTTTGTTCAGAGGAATCCTTGGAATGATTTAAAGGGGACCCAGGCTAATGAGATATGATATGAGTCAACAGGAATTTTAGATGCTATCAGATAAGAGCTTAGGCTGAAGTACCTGGGAATACAGCAGCAGCCAGCCAGGGCCCTGGCCCTGCATTCCATGATTTCATGTTCCCTACCACATGGATTTCCTGATCACGCCTGTTCCCTGCACATGCCCCCTTTCCCGTGGACAGGCAGAGTCTGCCTGTGTCTAGAGACATCTGTGTCTAGGGGAAAATCTTTCTCATCTCTTATCTTGCTCTATTATTTAACTAAATTCCTTCTGTTTTGAATTAGGAGAAGCAGTGCAGAGAGGACCTGGCTTCAGTTTTGTCTTTGACACATACTAAAGGGGGCTTGAGTCTCTGGGCTTTCAGGAGCATCTGTGAGCAGGCCTTTTGGGAGCATCCTTTCTGTAATGCCTTTATGGCTCCCCAGGACTGAGGCAGGCAGGCAGTGATGGCAGACTGACATCCCAGAACCAGCCTTGCTCAGTTCAGAGTGGCACCGAGGGTAACACCTTAAGTCATAGTGACTAGGAAAGGCCAGTTGTCTATGCTATGCTGGGGAAGAGTGATTTCTGTGGGCCCAGGATCTCCTAGTGGGCCTGTGTGCCAGGCCCTTTCCTCAAGCCTGGGGAGAGGACACAAATTCTTTTATTATGATGGCCAAAGGAAGTTAATTAATCACATGGGCTCCAACCCTCTTTATCCCAGTGGCAGTGCAGAACCCCAGAGAGATGGGCCCTGAATGACAAGCCGAGGGCGGGGTGCTGGTGGAAGCTCAGGGAAAGGCCAAGAGGAAGTGACTTACCTCTCCACACCAGTTGCTTGGCACAAACTATGGAGTTTTCCTTGGTACACATGTGTAAAGGTGTGTGTCCACTCAAGGAGTAGGCATTGAGCTTTGCCCCGTGGTCACAGAGGATCTTGACACACTCGACATTGGCCACTTCACAAGCCAAGTGGAGGGGCGTCTTCCCATTGGGTCGACAGTTGATGGTAGCGTGATGGTCCAGCAACACCAAGAGGCTCTCGATGTGGCCAAACAGAACAGACAAATGCAGGCCCGTGGCCCAAGAATACTTCAGTTTGTAGTTAGGAAGCCAGTACCCTGTAAAACAGAGCCAAAGTCAGGGCTCCGGCTGGTTTGCCTGATCGGTGCACCTGTGGACAGTGCGTACTTCAGGAAGGACAGGAACTGGTGTAGATGTGCCCTGCCTTGAAAGACAGACGGGACTGTCCAGGAAGTCCTGTGTGGTCCCGGCACTCGTCCTAATGATTCACCGTCTGTGACTTTGGGCTCTTCCGATGTAGGCCTCATGGAGATTCGATCCCCAGCTGAGGCATGTGTGCATGTATATGTATGTATACCTGTAGGGTTGTGTTTGTGGGTCTGTGTGTATGTGGGGGGGGGGGTGAACACAGAGGTCAGGGTTTCCCAAGCAAAGCTGCTGTGTGTTGGGCTCCCCTCCTTCCACTCCCTCCCCTTCCCTCTGCTCCCTTTTCTCTCACTTGGCTGTCTCATTCACTCGGAAGGGTTTAACAATACCCTTTATGTAGATGACCCTTATAGCTGCACATTCAGCCCCAGGATTTCTCCTGAGCTCCTTTATCACCAACTACCTGCTGACATCTCTACCTGAATCCACTATGTCCAAACCAGAAGTCAGCATATCTTCCTCTCTCTTTCTGTTGAAGACCCCATGATCCTCCTGGTCACCCAGGGCCACAATCTCAAAAGCCTCTCTGACTTCTCCTCCTGCTCCCCCATTCTCCAAACACTATCAGTTGTCATCAATCTTACTCAGACTATATCACATGTGAGCAGCTAGGTGGCACAATGGATAGAGCACTGGGCATCAGGAATCAGGAAGACTTATCTTCGTGAGTTCAAATCTGGCCTCAGACACTTACTAACTGTGTGACCCTGGGCAAGTCACTTAACCCTGTTTGCCTCAATTTCTTCTTCTGTAAAATAAGCTGGAGAAGGAAATGGCAAACCACTCCAGTATCTTTGCCAAGAAAACTCCAAATGGGATCATGAAGAGTCGGACATGACAGAAATGACTGAACAACATCACTTGTATCTCTGTACCCTCTTCTCCATATTCGCATTCCCACCAGCTTCAGCCCCTCATCACCTCTCACCAGGATTGTGGCTATAGCCTCTATTTGATTTCCCTGTTCTAATTCTCCTCTCTCCAATCCAACAACCACACACCTGCCAAATCATTGTTACTAAGGCCATGTACTCTGACCATGTTGTTCTCCCGAATCCCCAAATCTAGAGTGATTTCCTATTGCCGCTATGACAAGGTACAAGCTCCTCCAGCTGGAATTTTGAGCCCCTCATAGCCTGGCTCCTGATGACATTTCCAGACTTCTTGCACATCACCTTTATGTCCTCTTCTCCCTGAACACATTGCAACTTCTGCTCAATGGTCCTTGCCCTCAAGGACAGAGCAGAAAAAGTCTCTCTCCTCTTCCACATGACAGGTTGTCGCAGACTTGAACACAATCTTCCCCTCTCCAGTTTATTGATGTCCTTTCTAAAAATCGGGTGCCCAGAACCCATGATAACACTCCATGTGGGAATCAGACCAGGGAAGAATACACCAGGGACATCAACTCCTTATTCCCAAACAATTTGCTTCTTTTAAAGTAGCTGCCATATTGTCCTGTTGACCAACACTTCCAACAACTGATATGGAATCTTCCCCTCTTTAAGATGTCTTGAAATTCAATCCCTACATCTATTGAAAATTATCTTCCTTCCATTCTGGATGTCTTTCGGATTTCTTGTCCAGGTCTATTCATATCTCCCCACTCCCTTCATCATCCTGTCATTGCCCCTCCCCCATAAAAAGACTCAAGCTAATGGGGTCCAGATATGGCGGCTCCACTGTCCTTACCAATAGGAACAGATCATTATAAAGTACCTCCCATCTGTTGGTTGCTCTTCTTCCAGTTTCATCTACAAAGAAATATCTTAGAAATGATCTGGCTTAGCTTAATATCAAGCCAAGCTCTTTCAAGCTAGCTCTCTTTTCAGCTACTTTGTGTTGTTCCAGGTCTTTTGAGATCTCCCTGTGTAATGTTTAACCAAAGAGTTTATTCTCTTCATTGGTTCTGCCCCTGGTGGCCATGACTCTCCCCTCAATGAGGAGATCAGGTGTTCATTGGTTGAGGCAACTGTATGCTCTTTCATCTATAAAAAGGTTTGGAAAAGAGTGAATAGTCAACAACGTTTATTAAGCACCTACTATGTGCCAAGCATGATATTAAGTTCTAAAGGTACAAATACAAAAAAAAAAGATAGTTCTTGCCCTCAAGAAGCTTACAATCTAATGGGGAAAGACAGAATGCAAAAGGAAGCTGAAAAGGGGAAGGAGGTGCTAAAGGGTTTCCAGCGCCAGAGTAGGATGTTCATGGAATCAAAACTGAGCACAGCAGCTGATGGGAAAGGTTCCAGGTACTACTTTTGATCCCAAAAGTGACCAAGAAGGTATTGGTAACTGCAACCTAATCACTGACTTTGTCATCAGTTCCAACAAAATGACCCACACCCACTTTCAGATCATCACAGAAAGGTTCCTGCTTCCATGCATCTGCTCATTTCAGATCCAGATCCAGATCCAGATCAACTTTTTATTCCCAGTCCTGGTCTCTGGACTTGTCATTGTTCAGTTATTTTTCAGTTATTTCTGACTCTGCATGATACCATTTGGGGTTTTCTTGGCAAAAATACTTGGGTGGTTTGCCATTTCCTTCTCCAGGTTATTTTCCAGATGAGGAAACTGAGGCAAACAGGGTGAAGTGATTTGCCCAGGGTCACACAGCTATTAGGTGTCTGAGATCAGATTTTAACTCAGGAAGATAAGTCTCCCTGACTCCAGGCTTGGCACTCTATGTACTATGGTGCCCCCTAGGCACCCCTCTGAACTAACTCCTCACTAATCTCAAATCCTCACCTGTCCACATGACATCTCCACTGACATAGCCTGGAGTCACTTTTCACTCCACAGATCCCAAACCGGACTCATAACCTAACCACAAACATTGAGTCACCTTCCAAATCTTCCTGACTCTGTTGGTGATGCCATCACAAGGCTCAGAAGGTTAGTGTCAACATTGACTCCTCTTTCACCTTCACATTTGATGTCCGACATCACCACACCCTCTTGATTCTTTCTTAGAAATGACCCTCAGAAGGAAAATCAAATATAAAAAGGTAAAATCACAATAGACAAAAAAGAATGATCAGAACATAATTCTATGCCAGCAAAACTGAGACTTCAAAAGAAATAGAGAATTATCTAAAAAATATGAAATACCCAATTAGTAAGATATCAAATGAGATCGTAAATAATCTAATTTCAGAAAACAAACTGGAAACAGCTGTAAGTGAACTACCACCAACAAAAACTCATGTTTAGCTAGCTCTATAGAAAAATTCTGTAAAAATTTTAAAGAACAATTAATATGTATACTACAGCAATTATCCTTAAAAAAGGAAATAGGGGCAGCTAGGTGGTACAGTGGATAGAGCTGCAGCCTTAAAGTCAGAAGGACCTGAGTTCAAATGTAGCCTCAGACACTTGATACTTACTAGCTGTGTGACACTGGGCAAGTCACTTAACCCTGATTGCCTCACCAAAAAGAAAAGAAAAAAGAAAAAAAATGGAGAAAGATTTCATAAGACAAATAGCTAATAACACTAATGCCTAAAACAGGGAAGGATAAAGCAAAAAAAAAAAAGAATATCTATGGATCAATATTATGAGTGAATATTTTTTTAAAATTTTTAAATCCTGTCCAAAAAGACATTAATTTATTCTCCAAAATCATTCACTATGATAAAGTCAGATTTATATCAGGGATTCAAGAAAGGTTCAACATTATTAGAACAATACACAACTTAGTCATATTGAAAACAAAAGTCTCCCAAGTCACATGATTATGTCAATAGATGCAGAAAAATCCTTTGAGAAAATATGACACTTCTTCGTGCTAAAAACAAAACACAACTTACAAAGCATAGGCATAGAAGGGTATTTTTCCAATACAATAAAAAAGATCTATCTAACACTAAAAATTGACATTACATGCTTGAAATACTAGAAGCTTTCCCAGTAAGTGCAGCAGAAAAACAAGGATGTCCTTTTTCCCTAGTGTTACTTGACATCATCCTAAAAAATACTTTAAATCTAATTCACAATAAATCAATGTTGTTAGTATAACACAGAGGCAGTGGATCAGGCAGCAACTGTTCTGCTAAAAATCGAGGGTTTAGTGGGATTCAAAAGTCTAATGCAATCTTGGGCTTCATTAAGAGGGGCACAGCTTAGGGTAATAGGGCAGGGATAGTCCCACTGTTTTGTCCCCATAAGATCTTATATGGAATATTGTATTCAGTTCAGGGCACCATTAGCCATCTGGAGAGTCCAAGAGGAGGGCAACCAGGACAGTGAAAAGCTTTGAGTTCATATCATATGAAGATCTATTAATGGTACTTGGCATGCTTAGCCTAGAGGTGAGAAGACTTTGGGGAAGGGGTGGTGGAGACATGATATCTGCGTTTAAATATTCAAAAATCTATTGTATTAAGGAGGGATTTGACTTGTTCTGTTTGCCTGAAGAAGGTAGAACTGGGAGTAATGATGATAATAACAATAACAATGATAGCAACAACCACCACAATAACAATAACCATAAGCACTTTACAATTACTATCTCATTTTTATCCTCACAACAACACTGGGAGGCAGGTGCTATAATTATCCCTATTTTTCAGATGAGGAAACTGAGACAAAGAGGTGTAGTTGACTTGTCCGAGGACAAACAGCTTCTAAATGCCTGAGGCGATATCTGAACCTGGACATTCCTGATTCCAAGTCCCACTCCACTGTGCCACAAAGCTGCAATGTTTTGTGTCAGTAAAAACTTCTTAACAACTTGAGGCATCCCAAAGTGGAATAGGCTGCCTTAGGAAGTGGGGATTTCCCCTGCCTGGAGATCTTCAGGTAGAGGTTGAGTGCTCATCACTGGCTGGGTATGATACAGCACAGATTTCTTCTGTGTGGGGCTTGGCCTCTCATGTCCCTTCCAACTCTCAAATTTTGTGAAACTTCGATAGAAGAGCTCGCAATGACAGCAAAACAAGAAAAATAAATTAAAGGCATAAATATAGACAAAGAGGAGATAAGATGAGTTGTCTGTGACATTATGGTTTACATAGAAAATCATAGGAATCAACAAATAAATTAATTGAAACAACGAATACCTTCAGTAAAGTAGTAAGATGCAAAATAATCTCCCCCCCAAAAAAATCCACAAAATTTCTACACAGCAATAACGAAATCCTGAAGAGAATAATAGAAAGGGAAGTCCCATTCAAAATAACTACAAATACATAAAACATTTGTGGCTCAATCTACCAACACATATTTAATACCTGAACATATACAATTACAAAATTCTCCTAAAAGAAATAAAAAATAACTCACATGACTAGAAAAATATTTAGTGCACATGGCTGGGTCATGTCAATATGATAAAATGACAACACTACCTAAATTAATTTACATATTTAGTGCTATACCAATCAAACTACAAAGGGGATACTTTATGAGGGCTAGACAAAAATCATAAAATATATATAAAGAAACATTAACAACTAGAATATCATGGGGAAAATGAAAAAAAAATCAGGAATGAAGAATAGCCCTTCTGTGCCTCAAGTTACATTATAAAAGGATTGTTGTTGTTCTGTCATTTTTAGCCATGTCTGATTCTGGGTTCCCATTTGGGTTTTCTTGGTTTTTTGTTTTTTAGGTATTTTTTTGGTGGGGGGTTGGCTGGGCATTGGGAGTTAAGTGACTTGCCCAGGGTCACACAGCTAGTAAGTGTTATGTATCTGAGGTTGGATTCGAACTCAGGTCCTCCTGAATCCAAGGCCGGTACTCTATCCACTGCGCCACCCAGCTGCCTCTTGGGGTTTTCTTGGCAGAGATATTGGAATGGTTTGTCATTTCTTTCTTCAGCTCATTTTACAGATGAGGAAACTGAGGCAAACAGGGTGAAGTGACTTGCTTAGGGCCACACAACTAAAAAGTGTCTGAGGCTGGATTTGAACTCAGGTTCTTTTGACTCCAGGCCCAGAGCTCTATCCACTGCACCTCCTACCTGCCCCTTATAAAGGAACAGTCATCCAAATTAGTTGGTACTGCTGATGAATAATCTTGCTACCCACCTCCTGATAGAGAGTGATAAACTTAGACTGCAGAATGAGACATGCATTTTTTGTATGTGGCCAATGCAGGAATTTGTTTTTCTTAAATATTTGTCACAAGCATTTCCTTTCTCTTTCTTTCTTTTTCAGTTTTGGGACAGAGAAGTGTAGGATGGAAATAAAAATAAGATTTAATTAAAAATGAGCATCATCCTTTGCTCTGCCCCTTTCCTCTATGGATGGAGACTGTGATGGGTGAGAAAGATGCTGAGTCCCCTCTCTCCTCCAACTCCATCCTGGAAAAGCACCATACATATACTATCTCACCAGAGCCTCTCCACAAATGTCTATTTTACAAAGGAAGAAAGTGAAACAAACAGAGGTGAAGTGACTTATCCAGTGTCACACACCTAGGAAGTGTCCGTGACAGGATTTGAACTTGGGTCTTCCTGACTACAAGTCCATCGATCTTACCACTGAGCCTGTAACCACCTCAGGCTCTTCTCAAGGGAGCTAGACCAATGCACTTTTCTTTCCTTGGGCAGGGGGTATGGGGAAATGTCACTTTCTGTTTCTCACCAAATCAGAACACCTACTCACAGGAGTGAGACTTTAGCCCTAGGAAGGGATCCAAACTGACCCAAAGCAATGAACCCTCTAGGATGCATTAAGCATGGCAACCAGGAGCCAAGGGCCCTCAGTGACTGCAGGTGCTTCCTGAGCCCCAGAGGATCTGGCCTGAGGCAGGGCAAAGTCAGGCTGGGCTGGACATCTCAGAGGTTAAGTTACCAACCAAGACATTTCAGATTGTGAAAGTAAGTCAATAAATGAAAGAAATCTGTACCTCCCAAAAATGGCGTCAGTGTCAACCATTTGCTGGTCAGAGTCAAGCAGGAGGAAATTAGCTAATTTGATCTTAGCATCTTTGGGAGGCTGTTGGATGTTGCAAGTGGAAGACCAGCCTTGGGGTCTGGGAAACTCAAACTCCACTTCCTGTCTGACCACTGGACAGAGACATTCCCTCTCCAAGTCTCAGGTTCTTCATCTGTAGAGTGGGAATGATAATACTATAGTATCATTGTGGGAGGCCACACAGAGTCTGGTGGGGAGAGGGCTGGCCTCAGCATCACGAAGACCTGGGTTCTGACTTCCTCTGACACACACAGGTGACTGTCTGGATAAGCTGTCGATATGTATGGGGGGGGTGAAATTGCCACAGTATGAGTCCCCCCAGGAATGAGAACACGATGTCAGGCTGGCCCTCCTCCCAGGAAAAGGAAAAGAACTAAAGGATCTCTGGGGTGGAGCTGGAGTGATCACCAAGTGCAGCTTCCCATTTTTATCATTTACCTAAATCTGTGAACTTTACTTTTTCCTCCTACCCCCAAAACCCCTCCCCAGTGAGCAGAATCTTAGGAATGGGGCTTTCTTCTTTTCAGGCAAAGCCAAAGAAAAGGTTTCATTGCCACAGTCCTTCAGCCCGGCCTTTCCCAGGCCACAGTCACCTTCCCAGCCCTAAACCAGACATTAGCAGACACCCACCAATTTCTAATCTCGGGAGGTAAAGGCTGATAGTGCTGGTGGTGTAGACGTGTCTAAACAGACAAACAAATGAACAATCCCTGCAGGTCCCAATCTTCCCTCTGAATCCCCAACCCTAGGGTAGGACCCATGGCAGTGCTGTACCTAGCCCAGCGGGCTGCCCATATGTGGGGATCATCCCTGAGCTGGAGCTCAGCTGGGAGACTGAGATGGGCCTACATCTGTCTCATCTCCCTTCAGTTGGTCTAAGCAGAACTTCAGGTACAGACAGAAAGACAGACAGCTACAGGCCCTACCCAACTAGACCTTCTGGAAAGGACTGGTGGGTTCTGGGGTGACAAATCTCTGTGGCAGCAAAGACAACTTGTTCAAGCAGCTGGATCAAAGTTAGCCTGCTCCCCAACTAGGCTCACACCAAGCTACCCAGGACAAGGCCAGGGCAGAAAATGCACATAAGGACAAAAGATGGTGCATTTCAGAAGGGTTCGAGGGAAGCCTGTGAGACCTAAGGACCCGGGCCCAAACTGCCTACATGGTTGGCATGGCTGCTTCTTCGTTCCTGAAGCTTGATCTGCTGGGTAGATTCCTTTATCCTAAAGGAAGTTAGAAAAAGACCGACAGAGATGGCTGTGTGGACAGAGGTATGGATAAATGGATGGCTGGATGGCTGGATGGACAGACAGACACTATGCTGGCTGAGCTGGACTGCAGCTCCTGGGGACAGAGAGAAGATCGGGGGGCGGGGAGAAGTCAGATGCTTCTTTTAGAAATAGCCAGTGTAGAACTGGTTACAGGCCATCTCAAGCCCCCGGCTGGCCATTGTAGGGTGCAGGCATGCCAATACACACTGAGGACTCTGTGTTTTTACCTTGTTTGTAAGATGCCAAGACCATGTTCTCATCCTCCACTTCAAACACTGTGTCCACATCAATTTTCCTTTGGACTAAAAGAGCCTTCAGCTTTCCGAAGTCATTGGTCTTCAGAGCCTCCAGGAAGGTTTTCTTGGTGATTTTGGTGGCTGCCCTGGTTGTGGATTCTGCGTCTTCCATACTGTCTTTGCTCCTGAGGATGGCCCCAAACCAGCAGGGGTGCTGGGAGGGCTGAGGCTGCAGCTAATTTTATCCCCGAGCTGTGCTGACCTGTGCTATTTATACTGAGGCCAGCCCGAGCTTCCAAACACCCTCGTCAGCTGGTCCAGACTGGCCTTGCCTCTGACTGTGCAATCTACAGTGCCTGGGCCATCAACAAAGGCCCTGATGGGGGTGGCTCCCCATCAGGATTTCCAGGAGGATGCAGGGGATCGAGTCAAGAAAGAGAGCCCTGGAGGGGCCACACATGCTTCCAGAAAATGCATCAGGGCCCCTGAAGCCCCTGGAGTCATGTGGCCACTCCTGGGCAGGTCACTCTGGGCACTTCTTTCCTGTCTCCTCCTCTCACATTCTGGTATCCTATGACCTGAAGCTTGTGAGAATGGGAGTCCCAGGGCCAGGCACCAAATGTCATCCCTGGCATGCCAGCAAACAGGGGTCAATCAGAGGCCAAAGGCCTCAGCCCAGGAAAGGCCCAGCCCCGTGAGGCCCTGCCTGCCTGCAGACCAGCCCAGATGGCTCCTGTGCAAAGCACTGCTCCTCAAGGCCTCGGCCTGACCACTACAGTCCAGTGTAGATGAATCCAGCCGCCTCCCCCAAATATTGACCATGAAAAAGAGCACCAAAATGTGGTCATGTACCCCCCATCCCCCATTATTGGGAAAGCCACCAATGAACGCCTGCTGTGGGCCCCAGGAAGCCAGGCTCAGCCCCTTGGAACTCTTAGAGAACAAAAGCTCGCCTGAATCATGGGGTCCCCATTCTCCAGGCTTCTCACTGTCCCCTGACCAGACCCCTCTACCCTCCTGACCCACCTTCCCCTGGGAACAGCACACTCTGCCTCCTCCCCATCCTTTCCGGGGCCTGGGGGGGGGGGGGGGCTCAGAGGAGGGACCCTGGACAGCTCCCTCACTGCTAGGTCTGACCTTTGGGGTAACCAGAAGCAAGTCCAAGCTCTCATCCTTAAAGAGGATAGTCAGTGACTCCCCACTTATCGGGGAAATGCTGAAAATAAACTGGATGTGGTCAGAACCTCCAGGGCGGGGATGACTGAAGGAGAAGATCCAGGGGTCTGAGGGTACCCAAGCTCTGAAGAGTCATAATAAGCCCAGCTCTCCCAGGGCCATCCACAGGACATCGGATCCAGCCTAGAGGTTTCCTGAGCTCTGCATTCCCATGATCTCAACCCTCCGAGGCAGGTCCTGGGAATGTTACCCTTTCCATTGTAGAGAGTGGGAAGTGGGGCTACCCACAGGGTTACCTCTGAACAAAGTCTCCACGTCAACTCTTTGCCCCTTCGCTGCCCTCTCCTTGAGCTCTGACGCCCCGTTCCCATGGGCAGTCCTCGCTCCTGCCCAGCGGTGAGGTCCTCCTGTTTCATTCACTCCCACAGCAGTCTGGCCAGTTGTGTGGGAAGGGGGTGTGGCCAGAGCCCTGGCTCTGCGGCTTCGCCTCCCTGTGGATCAGCTGTCTTCTTACCCATAGTAAGGAGGTTTTGGCAAGTGTTTGCTCAACTGTACTCTCCCACCTCCGTGCCTTTGCTCAGGCTATGCTTGATCTTTGGTGTGCCATTTTTCTCTTTTCCTGGGCTAAATTCTTGTCATTCTTTTCAATTCTGCCTCTCCCATAGAGCCCTACTTAATCCCCACAATACCCCAGTCTTGGCATTCTTTGGTCTCACTGCTCCATTTGTATAATTCTATCTAATCTCAGTGTCTCTCCCCTAGCACCTGTGCTCTGCACACAGTCAGTGCTTAATGAACACACCATCTTGGACAGCCAGGGTCATGGGCTGTTGGGGCTGGGGGGGGGGGGTCAGACAAAGAAATCATTGAAACCACCCCCTCATTTTACAGGTGAAGAAACTGAGGCTCACAGAGGAAAAGGGGCTTGTCAGAGTCGCACAACCTGTCCCTGGACTGGGATGAGAAGGAGGTCTTTTTCCACTTCAGTTTCCTCCCGGTACCTCATGGCCTGAGGCCTGGGGCCAAGACATAGGACCCTGCCCTGCTAAGGGAATTCAGGGAAGGAAGGAGTGGGTGTGTGGGAGGCTAAAAAGGAGACAGTGTCTCCCAACTTGAGTTTTAGAGCCTCTGCCCCTCTTCCCTCCCCCACACACAGCGAGAACCATATTGTCTAGCTGGGGAGGGACCTTCAAGCCCATTTAAGTCAATGGTTTCATTCCACAAAAGAGGCACCTGGGGCCTCAGGAGGGCTGGGATCTGCCCATACAGAGGGAGCTGCAGAGCTAGCATTGGAAGCCAGCTCCTCTGGAGCCATATGCAAACCTCCTGGATGGGGAGGACTTTGATGCGAGGCCCCAGAATCCAGACCCAAGGCCACCCCTCCTTGCGCATCAGCTGTGCAGGAGCAGCAGACCCGGGGGGACATGGAGGCTGCCCTCTCTCCTCTTCCCGAGGGCACCCAAGGGTGTTCGATCACTATAACCAGTGAAGGGCTAGCCACCATGCAGAGGGCAGGAGGCCAGGAAAGGGGTGACGCTTTCCCACACGTCCCAGGACAGTTGAGGCAGGCTCTGTTGGCAGAAGGGTCTTCACTGCCTCTGGTTTCCACCTTCCCCTCCAACTTCCTAAGAAGGAAGCTGCTGGCTCAGGACATAGAGGCACGTGCTGAGACGATGCCTGATTGGAGGAGAAGAGGAGAGGCAGTCATCTCCCTGGGGCCTGCTGGGAGCTGCCTGGGATGGTAGGAGGTTAGTTCCAAAGCTTATCTTTCTTACTTAAAGCTATATTTGTAATTCTGTTTAAATAGCAAGAAAAGAAGTTGCCATATTATAGAAAGATCCTCTGTCTGAAGAAGTTCCTCTTCTCCTCCCCCACCCCAGTAGTGGGGGCTCAGGCACGGTAGGACAGACTTACTGATTTTTATAAATCCTCCAAGTAAAATAACAAGCCAGTGGAACTTGGGTCCCTGATTCGGCCTTGCTCGTGGTGGCTTAGGGGTGGAAGAGGCTAGCCAAGCAGGGCGATGTTTCAAGCAAGTGAATTTCCCCCATTGTTCTCTGATAGGGGCTGTCCTGAGAAAGGGGCATTGGCCAGGGAAAAACCACACCCCTGGGGCTGGCTGAAGTGGAGTAGGAGCAGAGAAAGCTGGGCTCCACCTACAAGAAGGTGGCGCAGTGGTTAAATTTCTAATAACCTGACCGCTTCCAATCCAAGACACAACACTCTGCCCTTTAAACTATCAGGGACCTGCCCCTCCTTCTCTGCCCCCAAGGGTCTCCAGGCTTTGCTTATACTGAACATGGAAGCAACCAGCTTGCTGAGGCTTTGTGCAGTGTTTATTAGGCACTGGGTGTGTTCAGAGCACTTATCCCCAACGCTATGGCCGCGAAAACACAAACAAGGCCCTAGGCCTGCCCTCAGGCCCCTTCTAGGCAAGCACTCAGTGCCCAAGAAGGTAAAGGACCACTATCAACCTTCACAGAGTGGCTTTTCAAGAGGATCAGGGAGCCAGGAAGCCAGGCTTAGGAAGAGCCAAGGTACAGTGGTAAGATCCACACTCGGGCCAGGTCGTTTGTGGCCCAGCTTTCTTCTGGTCATCCTCCTGCCTTCTGGATCAGGACTTCTCCTTCATCCACGCTTCCTCCCCGCAGCTGCCAGTGGCCGCCAGGGCTCTGTCCTGGGCCCTTTTCTCTTCTCTCTCTGCATTCTCTCACTTGGTGCATTGATTGGACATTTCAAGCAGTATTTCCCCTGTCTGTTTCAAATCCAACATGTTCAGAAGAGAGTTCTTTCCCCTCAAAGTCTCCACCTCCCAAACTCTCCCTTTTCTATTAAGGGCACCACCATGCTCCCGGTCACCAGGGTTGGAGTCATATTCATCATCCTTGACTCCTCTTTCTCCATCATC